TCTGCCTCCAACAACATACTCAATTAATTCTTCCAGCAAAGGTCCTCAGGGAGCAATAAACCTACCCCCAAAAAGGTCCATAAATGTTCACCAGTTCTGTGCTGTTTGAATGGCTGTGGACCACTGCTGGTGTTTAGCCTGGCTGAGCTCCCAGTGTGTACAAAAGTGCACACACTGCAGAATGTGCATGTGTGTGTAAGAGAGATGTAAAGAACAGCAGCGCCTTACAAGTGAAAAATACACACATATATACATTTAAATATAAAATTTGTGGTTATAACCTTGCTATAAAGACAGTGATATACAACTTATGCAGGGGGTACATGAATATGAATGGAAACTAGTTTTGTATACGGACAACCACAATGTAGAATGACTATGTTATACAACTCCTGTAATATTGGCATCACCCAACTGCTGGTAAATTGTGAAATAGTTACTGAGCTACTGTACCACATAATTCATGAAACACACACATTACTAACTTTGTGTCTCCTCTCTCCCGTAGTGTGTCCTCTCTCTCTCCCTGTACCTTTCTACAGGTTGCCCTGGCCCTGGCGCTCTATGTCTCTGATGAGCAGTCACCAGCCACATCGACCTGATCAGTGTTTGATTGTTGTGTCTTGTTGCCTTTCTTCTTCTCTCTCTCCTCTATCCACTCACCCCAACCGGTCGAGGCAGAAGGCCGCCCACCAAGAGCCGGGGTCTGTCGGAGGTTTCTTCCGTTAAAGGGAGTTTTCCCTCCCCACTGTCACCAAGTGCTGCTCAGGGGGGATTTGTTGGGTTTTCCCTATGTAATAATATTGATAACAGTAAAGTCTAGACCTTAGTTTGTAAAGTGTCCTGAGATGACTTTGGTTGTGAGTTGGCGCTATACAAATAAAATTTGATTAGATTTGATTTGAACACGTTTTATAGGCACTGTACATTTTAAATGAATCTACTTACAAACTAAGTGACAAACTGGAACCTTTAGGTGGGGGTCAGGGTCCTTGGGACAGAAGGAGGAGCATGTCAAAAAAAACTAGGACCCACTTGTAGAAAAACTCCACCAAGCTGAAACGTTTACCATACTACACTTTATTTCCCAAATGTTTCCTGCTATGTTGCCTTCATCAGGGTGGTATCTGAAATTGTTGTTGGCCTCCTTAACGCCATTAAAACAACATTACAATTATTTAAAACAACAAACTATTGATCAGAACAATGTTTGAGGTGTCCTAATATATGATCTCAATTTCTATAATTGATGAATGCCTAAATGCCTCATAACACAGCAGACTAAACAGTCAGTGACAAACAGATGGACACACAAAGTAGCTGTGTAATCGTGTCACTTAGGGGAATTAAAACACCTTCTCCAGACATTAACAACATGCAACAAATATACTGACAGACCATCAAGTGGCACACAAAAGAGCTCAGACACCTGATGTAAATGGACTCCATTAAGCCAAGCCTGAGCCCAGACCAGCAGCCGCCAGCCTGTGGCTTGACTTCATTTGTGAAACCGTCTCTTTATTTCCAGTGAGGTGGATATACTGTATAATTATGCCAGTTTGTAGTCAATTAATGAGCCAAAGGAGTCTGTTTACCCTGTGGGTGGTCCAAACGGAGGATTCAGTGTTTTACATTTTTATTTTTAAAATATGTGAATTTATTGGTGATTATATATTAATATGTAAAAACCACAAAGGCAGTATTATAGAATCCAGGTAAAATATTTAGAATTTTTTTTCTTTTTACATATTTTCCATTTGCACTGCAAACATTCTGTAGTTAGTTTAAAATTTTGTGTTTATTGTGTTACTAAATCTGGTGACTTGTTAGAAGCTCATTTGTCGCTTCAGTTCTTGTCACCACAATCAAATGGTGAACCATTACATTTGCAAACCCTTATTACCTTAAACACTTTTAGGATCTAAAAGCATAAAAACAAATAGGATAAAGAAGAAAAAATAAATCAAGAGGAAAATGCTTTTTTTTTAAAAAACTTGTCTTGTTTTTTTTTTACATAGGTTTGTTGAATCTTATCATCTTCTACTTCAGCAAAAAGAAAAAATTCATAACTTTTTTTTTAAGTCTGGGAGTGTTTTTCATCCTGTACTGGGGGATAAACTGACCCAGGAGTTTGGCTGAGGTGTCTTCCTGTCTGTCAGGCACAGGAAGTGGCTCCACACAGACGAGGCATTTAGCACCCAGGTGCAGACCCACCATTGGACGACCTTACCCAGATGGACAGTACTCTTTCCACCATAAAGACACTAGTCTTCCCCATGCCTTGAAGCCACCGGTGCTCCTGCCCTGGTCCAGCCTCATCAAAAGGAGCCTGGAAGCTGGGAGGCGGATATGCTGGGCTGGGCCCCAAATCAAGCTCACTCTTCTTTTCCTTGTGGATAAAAAATGGGGGAGGTGCGCTTTTCTGGTAGACACCAGCTTCTTTCTTTCTCCTCTTTTCTGACTTCTGTACGCGTGGCTCCTTTTTCCCCTCTTGACACAGAAACCAGATCCCAAAGCACAGTCAAAACCATCACAGCTCATTTTCTTTCATTACTCAGTTTGTTACCTCTCTTTGTTAGACAGGCACTAGAAATCAGATTGAGCTCACAGGCACGCACACACACATGCACACATTCATCCTGGCTGCCTGCACTCTGTTCTCCTGCAGGTGCGAGGGCCATCCGCCTGGCCCTTTTCATGAGGCCCTCCCTTTCCTGTCCGTCTGCAGCCATCCATTCAGCTTCAATCACAGCACCAGCCGGACCCCACTGGACTACTGGTGGGGAAGGGAAGCGCCTCCGCACACATCTTTCACTTGTTGAACAACAAGAGAAGAGCGGCTGGGGAAGAAAGAAAGGGTCTTCCTCCTCTGCGTCTCCTTCTGCTTTCATCGTAAACAACTTGCTTTCTGTTTGTAACGGTGCTGTCCTTCCCCTCTTCCCCCTGCCTTCCTTTTCTCCCGCTCAGATGGGCTTTACAAGGAGGATGGACGGGTGGGAGGGAGTGCAGAAAGAGGCAAGGACGAGCTCACTGTGCAGCGGAGTGATGCTGAGGTCTTTTTGTGGCTCATGAATGGTACATTTGAGGTTTCCAGCCTTGCTCGGTGCCCTGAGCCAGCTTCACCTGTGGTTGGAGTCAATTGGTCTGTTGTGTGCCTATCTGGAACTGTGCCCAGCTCTTTGCCAACCAATTTGGTGAGCGTAGCTGCTCAGAACTGAGCAACAATAGCCTCCACCTCAAAACCATCAATTAACTCCCCACACACAATGATGTATCCATTCACTGTTTGCCAAAAGTGTTCTCTGACACAATTAATACACATGCTAATACTGCTAATACCTGCTCTCTGTCAGATAACCAAGTATTGATGATATAAATGGCTTCCAAGTGGTGCATTCCATTAAGCCCACAAAGCTGTTGTTGTTTTGTGTGTGTGTGTGTGTGCTTTCAATTAATGTCACATAAAGAAAAAGTTAAAACAACATTAGGTGTGCTGACAGGTACTGATAAGATCCTTTGCTTTGAGCTAAATGCTAACATCAGTATGCTAACGCATTGACTATGCAGAACATACAGATGTTCAGCAGCTAATGTTTACCATGTTCACCATTTTACTTTAGTATGTTAGCAAGCTAACATTTGCTAATTAGCACTAAACACAAAAACAGAGCTCAGGCTAAGGGAAATGGCATTCAATTTGTAGTTATTTGTTTTTAAATTGAAGGTATGGAGAAACTGAAGATATCAGCCAGGGACCCACCAAAGTCACTGGGATTCATCCTCTGGGAACCATGAATGTCAGAATGTCTAAAATGTTATGGCTCTAAAACAATATTAAAATAGACATTTGAAAATCTAATTAAAGTGCTGGAAAGACCAACATTACCATAAAAAGTGAAATAGTGAATACATTTTTTTTTGTCATGTAGACAATTTGTCAAAACTCACACAGTGTCCTTGCTTATTACCCACCTGCTGTATTATTTTTATTAAGTACGTGTTTCTCCTGATTACATTTATCTTTTACTGACAAAACACAGCAAGCATGATGTCAGCTGAACTTTAGATGATCCATCAGTGCTGTATCATTTTTATTCATCTTTTATCTCATTGACAATAGCATATGTTAATTGTGTGTTTGGATTCTGCCAGTGCCACAGAAAGATTATGAAATGACTGTAAAGGAGCTTCCTGTTTAACAGCAGCAACGTAGATCTTTCAGTCTCATAAAAATTGATTTGATCTGATGATATTTTAAAAAAAGAAAAGCATTATGGAAGTTTTTAACTAGTTGTACTCATGTTTTGGAACATCGTTTTTAATGTTGTTCCTTACATGTAGAATAAAACAAAATTGTTAGTAACTTTCAAAACAATTGATAAAAAAATGCTAAAGTATTAATTGTAGGTTGTGTTTGAATTGTGCTTATATGTCCAATGCTTTTATACTGTGTAGTATTTTTGTGTTTCCTCTCAAACAAAGATCCTGACTTCAGTGTGATCAACCAGAGGATTAACAAAATAATCTGCAAATGTATTTTTTCTAACATCCTACCTTAAATTGTCACAATGTTCAATGGGATTCTGCTGGTGTCAGCATCTATCAGTTGTTTCTCATTTAACTGTCAAATATCCAGAAGTCAGTCATGCATGTGTCTTTCTAAAGAGCACGTCGTGTGTCAGGGAGGAGCTGAGTCGAGGTGGGGGTGTATGAGGGGAGCATTTAGCTCACTTTTCCACTGTGTGGTCTGTCACTCTCACCACACGCAGCTGTGGAAATGAGATAAAATCAAGCTGCCACTTTAGGAAGTTCTCATTCACTCACTTGCATGGGAGATCAACAGATGGAGGAAATGAAGATTTAATTTCTGCAGCATGTGGATTTTTTAAAAGCTGAAGTGAAATAGTTTTACTTTAGCTGCTAAAGTGTTTTAAGTTTGTTGCAGAGACTGTATCCTTTACTGAAGAAGACTAGTCTGAATTACAGCTCTGAAGACTGGCACATCGCCGAGGAGACTATGAATGTGCTGTCAAACCCAGTGATTAGGGCTCAGGAGCAGTCTCTACCTCTCTGTGGCCCCGACTCAGTCCAGGACTTACCCCACTGCCCTCCAGGGTTCAACCTGAGCTCCCGTCTAAATCCTGCACCCATACTTGGCCTTCAGAGTGGCCAAAGATCAACTAAACCTCAGAAGGAGCTGAGCCCTGACGAGCAGCAGGAGCTCAGGAGGAAGATCAATAGCAGGGAGAGGAAGCGGATGCAGGACTTGAACATTGCAATGGATGCCCTGAGGGAGGTCATGGTACCTTACGCTAACTCACCTGCCTCTGCCTCCTCTCA